ACTCAAGTAATTATGTCAACCTCTTTAACTCCAAAATCAACTATCTGCAACAAGATCGCTTCGTTTGATAAGTACAACTTCGCTGCATGGAAATCAAAGGTCATGGAAGCTCTCGAGTTCTTGGACTTTGATATGCTCGATGTCATCAATAAAGGTTCTATCGCTACTATGCATAAATCATCCTATGATGGTGCATTTAGTAGTAAGCTGAAAGGGAAATCTGTTCCCGGATATAACAAGGAAGAGGAAAAGATGTTGAATCTCAATGTAAAGGCGAGAATTGTTATTGCAAATTCACTCCCTTTTTCTGTCTATCATTTGGTTCAAAACTGCTTATTTGCTCAATAGATTATAATCACTTTATCATCTGCTTTTGAAAAGGAAAACTCCTCCGACGATGAAGGTAAGTGTCTCGTGGCTCAGATTGTTGAATCTCACGCTGACACTGCACATGATAGTATTGGGAACCTTGACGTTGGTCCTTCTCATGCTGATAAGGACTTTAAGCTAGAATGGGACAATACTCAGCATATCAGGTAAAGAATCTTGTTAACTTCTCCTCTGTTGAAAATCTTAAAAAAGAGACTCAATCGATCACTTATGTTTTGATTTATTGGTCTCAAATAAAGAAAATTCTACACCCAGTCACGATGTAACGACCGAAATTTCGAAACAATTAAAACTTTTCCAAAACAATCCATTTTAATAACGTTATTACAAAAAGGTTTTCAATACATTATTTAACAGAGTATTTCCCAGGTCCATTTCATAAAACACCAACGCGAGGAACGGTACGATCACGCCTTTGCCTTGCCACAGACTCCTGAGAACCTGAAAACATAAAAACCACAACTGTAAGCCCGAAAGCTTAGTGAGATATCCCCAAAATACCAACCACATATACGCCCTTCCAGGCCACAACCTTCCGGTCCAAAACATATCGCCTTCCGGCCCATAGCGTAATGCCTTCCGGCCCATAACATATCGCCTTCCGGCCCACAACATCAAAGCATACATATCATGACAGAACATAGAACAACCATGCGTACCGGGTTACACTCCAGACCAAACAACCATGCACATAACATGTAATCATATAACAGTTCACAGTTAGCAAATCGATCAACAGATCACATAGCATATCATTACCCTAATCAAGATACCAGCCTAGCCGATCACTAGCATAACATCACCCTACGACTCAGCCAACATAATAATTATGCACATACGCCTTTCCAGGCCATGACCTTCCGGTCCACATCGCATTGCCTTCCGGCCCGCAACATGTAATGCCTTCCGGCCCACAACATATAATGCCTTCCGGCCCATATCCCGTGATGTGTGTAAAACCAACTAGTTTTAATCCTACTTTAATTATCAAATAACACACAAAAGGCAGTGAACCTATCAATTGTGGTATAGCTAAATAAGCAGGGTATCGAACACAGGGAACGACAAATTAAATTAAAAACTAATTCTATCTAAGTTGATTAAGAAAATAGGGGTTTTTCTCTAGTTTTACAAGACTAGAAACTTACTAACTAAAACTAATTAAAGACTAGAAAATGACAATTTAACTAGATTCAATAATGGGAAAGAAACTTCTGTTTAGTTCAACTCAGTTAACTTTATGGTTTATTTTAAGGTAATAGTGCAATGGATTAATTCTTTCGTTGGTTACCGATTCAAGTGATTAGGTTCATGTTCACTACCCTCATTGACTCGCCGAGTCGGCTATTTAACACGCGACCAAGTCGCGACTCTACTCGCCAAGTCCATCCATGGACTCGCTGAGTCACTCTTTCCCAAATTACACTTTTAGCCCTTCCACTCAACTCTTGCTATTTCGGGATGTTACAATTCTCCCCCACTTAAATTAGGCTTCGCCCTCGAAGCTTGCAGCAACTCAACTCCAAAGATGTTCCCACAACGCGCCATCTGGCCTTAACCGGACCAGGTCCCACAAGGCATACCCGTCGAAACTCGAACACACTTTCCTTTCCCTTACGGTGCCCTGACCACCGTCTCTAACCGGGCACCGGCAGTAGCCTCTGATAATCACACTCAATAACCGAAAATTACCCAAGATGCATCACTGCCCCAAATCTTCAACAATCACTCGACCCATAAGGGCTAGAAAACCATGAACCATAGGATTCCCGATCCGAATCCCACTCAATCCATTCCGGGACAACTGAGAGACCCATTCTCAATCTCAGAGCAACTCTCACGTGTTCTCCCCTTGCAACCGCATACACATGCTGAACTAGCTCTAACACCCTCAGGTTGGGTAAACCTGATATACTGATAATATCCTCAAACATCCCCTAGGATAAACCACTAATACATACCCAATATCCTGATCAGAATCACACTGAGAGTCCAAGACTCTCTCCCTGCATCCCTTCCAAGACTCTTGGCTCTACACTTGCGAAATTCCCTCCGTGGCCTCAACAGACATCCCAAACCGGATAAGCTTCTATTCCACTGCCGCAAACATGCTGTTCAAAAACCATACTTGAATCACTCAAATCATAACTCTGCTCTGCCGCTTTCCCTTCTGTGAACTTGCACTCCCTCTCGGAGTTACACCTCACTCTCTCTTCCTTTACCAAGGAAACCACTCGACCACATTGTCACTCTGACAAGTGCCACGGTGCTCGCCCAACGCTACACCACCCCTTTCATAGCGTATCCGCTATCCATCCAACACACATACTCTGACTCTCATCGCAGGGACTCTCAAGCCCATGCACTATCTCAACTCATCCAGATCACTACCCGGGGCCAGGCCTTCTAATGCAAACACACTGCGACATACCCAATCCATATCCTCAAACTGATCCAACAATACCTGCAGAGTCTTCAGCATGACTGGACCGTCTTACCAGGCCTTCAGCCCATTCTGGACCGCTCAACTAGCTTTCATCATTCCGGGCTATCACCCCCGGAAACCCTCCCATTCATACCGTTCTAGCCCTCTAGGGGGTTCCGAACTCTAATTCCATCACACATACTCGATCCCGGCCTGCTCCCCGGCCTCCACAATCAAGTGCCCTAGGTCTGTATCCCGCCCCGCATGCCCGACACTTGCTCCAATCAGCCTATACTCTGGGCTGATAGAACACTGCTGAATCCCAACAGCTAAGCACTCTAAAATACTCATCGATCTCCCAGAGAGTTCTCCAACTCTCCCCAACTTATAGCACTGATTAACAACCACCGGTCGCCATCACCGAACTTCCAGAACAACCCTGCACAAAGAAAACAACTTACACGCGGACTGCTTCCCACAAGCATAAACAACCTTAACGAGATCTCACATCAACACTGATTAGCCCGCTCGAAAGAGACTCAAACTGTATCTAACCACTCTTCGGGAAGCCGATGCTACCCGACCTTCAACCCAATGTCGCATCTCCACTAATAACCCTCACGAATGATAACCAACGAAAGCACAAAACACCAAACTATAACCATACCAAACCCTCAGGGAACAACGGATACCAAGACGAAAACCCGAAACACAAATCCATAACCATGCCAAACCCTCAAGGAACAACGGATACCAAGACGAAAACCCAAAACACGAATCCATAACCATGCTAAACCCTCAAGGAACAACGGATATCAAGACGAAAACCCAAAACACGAATCCATAACCAAAACCTCAACCCGCAAGACGACGAATACCGCATCGAAAACCACACAAAGGTACCATCACAACAATACGCCATAATAATCGCAAGATAACATGACATCAAGAAAGAAACATACCTACAGCTACATCCGGCACTGCTCTGACCTCCTCTGCCGCAAGCTGATAAGCACGACCCTGAGCCCTTGGGGGCTCCGCTCCACCCTGACCTTCTCCTGAAATCCTCAAAGTGGCCGGTGCTGGAGCCTGCACCGGTCCCGCGGAAAGCTGTGGACAGTTAACCCTCATATGTCCAACCTAACGACAATGATAGCAAATCCTCAAATCCCGAACCGGCGCTGACCGCCGACAATCCCTCGCATAGTGCCCCTCCTTTCCGCACTTGCAGCATGCAACACCGGACCTTCAAACTCCGGTGCGACTCCTCCCACACTTCCCACAAGTGTGGCTGCTCAGATCCCCCACTTTAACATCAACGGTCTTGGACCGTTTCGGTGCCGGCCGCGACTGCACCGGAGCCTGCCTCAGCTCACGCAACTGCAACTTAATCTCTAACTCACGCCGCCTAGCGGCCTCCTGCAACTCCAACAATGTCCCGCACCCCTGCGCAGGCACAAACTGTCTGATATCCCCCCTTGAGCATACTCAGATATCGGGACATCTGAGCCTGCTCCGAAGCGAACTCAAGGCAAAACATCGCCCTCTCAGTGAACATCCTGGTGATCTCAGTCACCGACTCCGAATCCTGCTTCAGCTTAAGGAACTCTTGAGACAATCTTTCCCTCTCATCTTGGGGAACATAGCGAGCACTGAACATCTCTATGAACTAATCCCATGAAACCGCAACCCTCTGCACATCCGAGTATGACCCCGTGGTCAATCTCCACCAATCCTTCGCCCCGAGCCTCAACAGGTTCAGAGCACACCTCACCCTCAGATCAGCAGGGCATGAACACATGATGAAACACCCCTCCACGTCCGATAACCATCTCATAGCAACAATCGGGTTCTGAACCCCATCGAAGGTGGGAGGCTCCGTATTATCGAAGTCCCGATACTGAAAATCCCTATCAGCTCCTCCCCCTTCCACTGCTACCGCCACTATAGCCGCCGCAGCAGCCGTCTCCGTGAGAGCCGCATAGCACTCATCAAAATACTCCACCATGGCGGTCTTGATCGACCCAAACAGTTCCGGCAGCTCGGCCTGGAACAATGCAGCAACCTCATCATGCAGGCTTTCAAGAATCCTCGCATCCAACTCGTGCGTACTCATCTGACCGATAACCTTGAGCGGTACTGACCCGTCCGCAACTCCTCCTCCTGTACCCGATCCTGACCCGGATCCTCTTCCAGCATGCCTCGAAATCTCCATACCGAAAACATACTAGAAAACCTCAGACTCTTCCCACTATCCCGGGAACCAACTCTCTACCCAACCCTAGAGGTCATGGCTTCCCTGATACGCATATGGGTCCTGTGCTTTCAGTAGTACGGGCCCATACTACCTTCCACACCTACCCATATTTGTATGAAGTACTACCACAACACCCTAGAGAAACATGCATAACAACGCTCAACCCTCACCACTAGAGGAACACTGAGAATCTCCCATAAGGAACCCTAGGCTGCAAGCATCACAATCAGGCAACATTAACATGAATTCCTGAAGATCCCTAGCCTAACTCTAGCATGCTGTTCTATCAAAGTTCAATAAAACAAATGCCATGAATGGTAATTTGGGGTTACTTACTGGCTCCGACTGATCGTACCTCTGCATCCTCCTTTACTTAATTAAAAAAAAACCATTTTATTTCCTCTTTTTAAAACCCTCCTCGATTTGAGACTGGAGTCACACGAGTGTTCCTCCAATTCGCTCAAACCA